TTTTATCACTGGTCGGTGTCCCTTAGCTGTTATTTAGTTAACCACTGTAAAATTTACATACAACTTTGAACAGGAATAACGCAAGCGACTTAACACTATCGAAATTCCCTCCTATCTTCATGTTCTCACCAAGCTCAGCTTGTCCATGTAACCCACCTTCTGTTCCTTCGATTCCACTCCCACTAAACTGCCGAGAACCAAACTTCCCTTCCTGGTTCCTATGTTAGCCAATAAAACCGTTAGTAATCTCTGCTCGTGTAGTGATCCCACCATTACCTTGCTCCTGAAAACGCCAAGCTTCAACTCTGCATCTTTGCAACCTAGTGGCACATTTTCAATCTCTTTTTTCCTTCTCCAAACTCTTTGAAGTGTTTTCACCATGCTTTCCTGGAGAATCTGGTGGAGGCAGAACTGATTTCAAAAGGGAACTGGAAAAGTACTTGAAGATAAAGAACTTGCAGAGTGGGCAGTCGAACTAGCTTTGTTGCTCTTGCAGACAGCCAGCAAATACTGATGGGCCAAAGACAAACCATCACTCCTTAACGTGGTTGACCGTACCATCATCCAAACACCTCAATGCCAACATGCAGTTGATGGGAATATACTTCTCTTTCCATTTTTAACCATCTGATCAGTCAGAGAATTATTTCTAATGACTATTCTTCCTATTCCCTTACTTTAACCAAATATTTAGAATCCTACTCCCCTTTTATTTCTCACTTCTGCTGCCCCTATCAACACCTCCCAAAAACACAACCTCTATTCCGACATGTACATGGAAACATCCAGTTCCAACTCAACACCACTATTCTGGATTCCCCACTGCTTCAAAATCTGCTTGCCTGACATAAGTACAGATGAGCAAAAAACTCCTCTATTTAAATACAGTGCAGATTTCAAGGTTCAAGGTTCAAAATGTGTGATTTACATATATTTTAATATCATTTACTTCAGAGCTTGGATTTAAGCTAGTGTTACTTGGCTTGTGGGTTGTGAGTCTGAAGAGGTTTAATGATTAACTTGTACATATTTCTGTAGCCACATGATTTAGTTTTAAAATATAAGAGAATTCAACGCACACTATAGGGTTTAGTTTTCACTGGGGAAGATTTTATGAGCAAACAAAGTAAACAGTTGAGAGTTAGGCCTTCAGTTTAAAAGATCAGAGATTGATTGTTACCTCTTGATTAAGGAAACACGCATGGTTTGGAAAAAGTTTTTGGGTTTCAGTTTCACAGATTTTGCAGAAGTCTTGTCTGAATCTGAATGTGTAAAATAATTGCTTCCAACAACAGGAGATGGTTTAGAACTGTTAAGAAATAGATTGCCACAGTATAAATAGCTTAGTTTGAAAGTTCCAGAGCATAAGTTAAAACCCTGAAGGAGTTATTTGAAGAAAAGTAAGCTCAGTTTTATGAACACTCCAGGAAGAATCTCAGGTTCTCAAGACATGGAAGTGAAGTCACAAATAAATTAAGGGGAGGGAATTCTTTCTGGTGAGAGTGAGTATCAGGAAAGAGAGTAATTTGTAATTAAAGGAAGTGTATGTGTTACTAAATATGTTATAAGAAAATAGGTTCTTCTATTTTATCTTCATTTATTTTATCTAATAAACTTGTATTGTTAAACAAAATGTGCAGCATTGCATGCTTGCACATTTCAGCAAAAGACTACTCATTAAAACAAAGGAAAAAATAAAATATGACCTATTGAGCTAGATTTCTGCTTGAGGTCTGACTTATCCACTAATAGCATCAGCTAAGATCACAACAATTTCAAACGCTCAACTAAAATGTATCCACAACATTTATACGGAAATGAAGAAAATAAAGTTGAAAATTCCAACCTGGCATAATTCAAAGGTTTAGGTGCACAAGACTGCTTCTCCCAGTTTACTAAATAAAAAATAATTTAAGATGATACCAAATATGACATCCAAGGGCTTTATCTGTAATTGAAGTCCACATAAAATATAAAAGGCTACTTTCTTATCTGCTTATTTTCAAGAGCATGGGAAGACAGTGGGACAGCAGCACCCAAAACAGCCAAGAGGGAGCCAGGCCTTCATGTTAAAAAAAATAGAAGAGGAAAGTTTGTCAGCAACAGCTCAAACAGCTGGACACAGCTGTTAGACATCGCCTGACACAGATCAACTGTTTTGGTCAGCTGATCTGTGCAGCTACACTATCTGGGTGATGAAGGATGCCAGTGTGTCTGGGAATTAATAATGGGAAATAAAGAAATGGCAGATGTATTGAACCAGACATTTTGTAACCGTTTTCACTATAATAGAAACAAATAATATCCCAGAAGAAGTGTAAATCAAGAAGAACTTTAGAAATGACAATCATTGTCAACTTGGAAAGGGTACTTTGAAAATTATTAGAACTGAATGCTGGCAAGTCTCCAGGCCAAATGAACTTCATCTTAGGGTCTTAAAAGGAGTGGCTGCATTGATTTTAGGTGCTTGGCTATAATCTTCCAAAATCCCCTAGACTTGGGAGGAATCTCAACAGATTGGAATGCAGCATAGTGAATACCATTATTTATAAAGGAGGGAGACAAAGGCAGGAAACTACAAGCTGGTTAGTCAAATATATGTCAAAGCAAAAATGCTAGAGTTAAAGGCAGAATACTTAGAAAATCTTAATACAGTCAAGCAAAGTCAACATGATTTTGCGAAAGGGAAGTTATTTATGACTAATTTATCAGGAGACCTTTGAGAAAATTACAAGGAGGATAACGTGTTGAAATAGTACATCCATGATTGGATTGTCAAAAATCATTTTCAACATGCCATATTAAAGATTACTATGCAAGATAAAGAGCTTATGGTAGAAAGCATAGCATATTAACATGGATAGAGGATTAGTTAGCTAAGAGGAGCAGAGATCAGGCATAAAATGTCATTTTCAGGGGTTGATAGGATGCAACAACTAGACTGCCACAGTAATAACCACTTGCATCAACAACATATAAACTGAATCAAAGACTTGGACAAAGGATCCAAATGTGTGGTAGCATAATTTGCTGACACTGAAATAATTAGGAAACTAAGTTGTTAAGAGAAAGTAGAGAGTTTTCAAAGGGAGATAGAGATTAAGTGAGAAGTTTTTTAAAATTTGTTATCACTGGCCAAGCCAGCATTTACTGCCCACCTGTAATTGCCAGAAGGCAGTTAAGAGTCAACCACATTGCCATGGGTCTGGAGTCACATGCAGATCAGGCCAGATGAGGATGGCAGATTTCATTCCATAATTTGACATTAGTGAAGAAGATGAGTTTGACAATAATAAACAGTTGGCGCCATTTGGTTCTTTATTCCAGATTTTTATTGAATTCAAATTTCATCATCTGTCATGACAGGTTTCAAATCCATTGGTCCCCAAAATATTAACCAAGTTCTAGATTACAAGTCCAGTGACATTACCACTACACCACCTCCTCCCACTACTGGCAAATGGATTATAATGTGAATCATTCTATGTTGGCAGGAAGAGGAAAAAAACAAAACACTACTTAAATAGAGAGAGAGATTGCAGAGAGTCTCTGGAATCAGAGTCTCCTGGCACACGAAAGACAAAAGTACAGTTTGTAGGAGCGGCAAATGCTTATGAAGGATAATGGAATCTTGGTGTTTATTGCAACTGAAATGAAGCTTAAAAGTAGGAATGTTTAACCATAGTTGCATAGGGCCTTGGTGGCATTATCCACATGACACACATCTGGAGGAGAAATAAAACATCAAGAACAACTGACATTATCACAAATGCTTAGTACTGCTAGTGAAAATTGACACATTCTAAAGTAAACAAGTAGATAGATCAATGTGCAGTTGATGATGAATTCAAATCCTCACTTAGTAAGGGAACTTGCACCAAATCCAATGAAATAATCTAATTACTGAAAGTATCAATTCAAAAATGAGGAATGAGGAATAAGGAACAATCCAACAGTTTACTGCTAAAGATGCTACATGTACCCAGCAGGAAGAAATCTCAATTTATATGCACAAATTAATCTCAACAAATAGGCATAAATACCAAATCATACCAGATTGATACCAGCTTCAGAGCACATACTGGCTTCTCTGGGAATAAAACTGGGTCTTAACAAACAAACCAAGTTTATCTGTGCTGGGATACGACATGTGGAAATTGTAGGAAGTTTAGTACCTTCAACCTACGGCTCCTAAAGCTATCCATCACGGAGGGTTTTCCTCACCTCATGACTGGTTCTGTTGCAGACCAAATCATATTAGAGGCGTTAATTGTGAATAGGCAACAACTCAATTGAAATACTATTATGTGACTACAAGACAGCGCAAGATTAATTAAATAGACTGTGGCATTTTATCATCTAACAACTCCTATGTTTTTATCACTCTCAATTCTATACACCTACACACATCACCGACAAGATTAATTAGTCATCTACAGCAGAAACTCCGTATGATCATTTTCACCCACAGGTATCAAAGCCAATTGTACTGCAAACTTATGCAAACTCTGAATTGCGTTGCTAAGCAGAACTGGAGACCAATGAATTACAGCAAAATGCCTGTAAGATAGATAGGATTCTGTTCTTTTCAATAATCACTGAGAACCATTGAATGGAGATTTTCAAACGTGAAAACACCAACTACTCATTAATATGAAGCCCTCATTTAGTGTAACACATTTACTGCCATATCCAGTACAGATATAGGAAGAGATACACCTGACTTCAACTTACACGCAATTCCTGGGCAAGTTATATTTTGGCTCCTCTCATCAAATGATAATAAACAACTACAGAGAACTAATTTTTTTAAAAAATCAAGCTTGAAGGCAAGATCACCATCTGAAGTAATTCCCATGGCCATTACGTCCAAATTGACTGGAAACATTTAAAAAAAAACACTTGCCCAATTCACCGCTAGTGCTCCACAGACTTATGCTGAAATAGTTATCACAGCCAACTGATTGAAAAGACCCTGTAATCAGATATCAGTTTTCTACCTTGCTTTGTAGTTCCATGCAGTCCTGATAATGGCAGCCTCCTCAGCCTGTGTTTACTGATTTGCACAAATCCTTTCCCAGGTGTCCTTTTCAGACTTAGGGAGGACTTTCCACACACAGGGCTCTTCTTGGTGAGCAAGTACCGATTTTTTACCATTGGCAGTCCAGTAAAGCTGATCCTCTTCTCAGTCGGTGAACTTGCAAAACAAACAAAAAAAACACAATAAATGCTCCGAAAAGTTGGAAAACATCAGGGTCCATCAAACAATATCTCTCTGCTTAAGGGGTGAAGTTCCAATTTTGGTAGAACGCAAGATCTCCCTGCTCCATGCAAGACCTTGAGAAGTACTACTTACTTCGCTGACGTTACAATTTTTTCTAGGGGTTGTGGGGTAAGGTGTTGTGGAGATTTAGGAGATTACCAAGAAAGAACAAGACAAGAATGCAGAGTAACGATATGGATACATCTACCTAGGGTGTAACAGGAAGGGACAGAGACAGAGAATGTATAAACATAAGAATGCACCAGCAAGCAGGGTCAGCGTAAAAACAGAATTAATACATGCAGCATTCATAATAAGGTGGATGAATTGATAGCACAAATAGAGACACATGGGAGTATGGCATGATAGCAATCACAGAGATGTGGCTGCAAAGTGACCAGGACTGGAAACTGAACATTTAAAGGTATTTGACAATTTGGAAGGATAAGAAGAAAGGAAAATGAAGAGAGGTAGCCTAATTAATAGGAGGATGGGAGGAGCATAACTATTAAAAAAAAACAAAGAACTAAACAACCTTGGCTCTGAAGATCTAGTTGCAGAATAATTTTGGAGGGGGTAAAGGAATAGCATGGGAAAGAAATCGCAGCTGAATGTAAAATGCATCCCCTAACAGTTTAAAAATAACTAAAGTCGTCATAGTCCTGCCAGATCATTAAAGAGACACCCTGGTGGTGGTTTAACCAGAAGGTCATCACTCATCAGGTGAGTGGAGAGGTTAAGAAGGAGGCTCCTTCATGGTAATCTCAGCTAGTGCCGAAAGTGAATGTATTGCAAACAACTGTCCAGCCAAGTGAAGTAACCAACCCCTAATAGTAGTTCATAATGGGCACTGTAAGGAAGAAACTACAAAAGTCTCGGGCTAATTTAATCTTCACATGGATTCAAAACTTAAACAGGTGTAAAAGGTAGCCTGGAGGATGAGTTCATGAAGTGTATTTGTAACATTTTCTTAAAATAGTACATCCTGGAGTCAACCCAGGGAAATGGTTAGTTTAGGCCAGAGAATGTGTAAGGAGTCTTTTTAATCCATCAACAAAGATGAACAATTAATATAGCATCACAGAAATGATCTCATATGAAAGAATCCTCTAGGAAAAATGATCATAACATGACAGAATTTCACATTCACTTTGAAAATGAGAAGATGGGGTGTGAAACTACTGTCTTAATCCCAAATTTAAAGGCAGTTGCAAAGGTATGAATTCAGAGTTGGCTAAAGTGAACTGGGAAAATAGTCAAAAAGATAAGTTGCTGGAGAAATAGATGTAGGCATATGAGGAGGTATATCACAGTTTTTAACTAAGAAATATTCCAGTGAGAAAGAAGGATACTACCAAAAGGCTGCACTGTCTGTGCCTTCCTAATAAAGTTTAGGCTGGTATCAAATTGAAAGATAAAGGCATATAATTCTGCAAGATTGTTAACAGAACAGAAGATTGAATTTTTTTTAAGAAACCAACAATGGAGAATTTGAAAAATGAGAAATCAGAGTAGCAAGAAATATAAAAGAGGACAACAGAAGTTCCTAAAAGAATGTAAAATATAGAAAATGGAGTAGCTTGTATAAGTGCTGGTTCCTTAGTAGATGAAACTATGGAGTTAATAGCGGAAAATAAGAAAATGGCAGATACTTTTAACAATTATTTTATACCAATCTGCAAGTAGAAGACACAAAGCATCCAAAGAATGGTAGAGAATCATTGATCCTAGAAATATTACAGTCAACTGGAAAACTGCACATTTAATAACATTCCAAAGGAAGGAGACAGAAAACTCAAAACTATAGGCCATTTAATGTAACATCTATCTTTCAAAAAAAATGGATTATATTATTAAGAAAGACAAAGTAAGCCATTTAAAAAGACTGCATGCAATTAAGCAGAGTCAATTTATTTTACAAAAGGAAAATCATGCTGGACAAATTTATTACCATGCTTAAGAATATAATAAGCAGGCTAGATAAAAGAGAACCTGTAGATAAAGCGTATTTGGAATTCCAAAAGGGTTTTGAGAAAATGCCCCATAAAAGTTACGATATTAAACAAGAATTCATGGTATTGGGAATAATGTACCAGCATGGGTAGAAGACTGGCTAGATAATAGGAAATACGGTCAAGGTAAATGGACTATTTTTAGACTGGCAAGCTGTAACAACTGAGCTGTCAAGGGGTGAGTGCAATCTATATTACTTACTTACACAAAATACTTCCCTTTGTGACCAAAATAAGGGTAGCCATGATGTTACTGGATAGTGAAACAGACTCACATTGCCCAATAATTTAATCTTATCCATATTTATGTTCTGTTCCTTTAATTACATTTTATTAGTAAATAAAAATAATAAACATTACTTTTGGACTTGTTATCCCAATAATCAATGCACTTTTTAAAAAATTAATTCATAGGACATGGGTGTCAGTACCAAGGCAATCGTTTATTGTCTATCGCTAATTGTCCTTGACAAGTTGGTGGCGAGCTGCTGTCTTACACCACCATGGTCTGCTTGCTGTAGGTTGATCCAAAATGAGACTCAGAAGAGAGTTCCTGGATTTTGACTTAGTGAAACTGAAGGAATGGCAATATATTTCCAAGTCAGGATGCTGAGTGGCTTCGAGGATATTTGCAGTTGTGATGTTTCTGTGTTTCTGCTGCCCTTGTCCTTCTAGATGGTTACAGGTTTGGAAAGTGCATGCTGTTTAAGGAGCCTTGGTGCATTCCTTCAGAGAATCTTGTAGGTGCATCACTGCTGCTGAGTGTCAATGAAGGACGGACTGAATGTTTGTGGATGTAGCGTTAATTAAACAAGCTGCTTCTTCCTGGATGGTGGGGGCAAACTTCTTGTGTGTTGAGCTGCAATCACGTGTCAGACTTTTGCTCCCAAAATTAGTGCATGCAGGTAAGACAACTATCACTGCAGCCATATGGGTAGTCAGAGATTTCCATTTGACCACATTACGCTATTGTAACATTTGCTGCCTTATGTAATGCATCTGAAGGGGTTAATGCTCACATTAAGTTAGCATCAACCATTCAGCAAACATCACATACAGTCTGAGAGTGGAAACAAGAGTTATTCCCTCATTTTAGGAGGGAGGATATCTGTCTACCAGCTCTCAAATGCCTGACCAGATGTAGTTATACTTACAGCTATCATACAATAAACATTCTTGTTATTTAAAAACTAGGTCTGTACTGTAGACGCACTACATGGTGCATCATCTTAACACTAATGACTAGCTAAGCCAAGACAAAGGAGGACTGGTGGCAGTGAACTACCTCAAACCCCTCTAAATCCCTACCCAGTACCACATGACACCAGGATATAGTCATCTGTGAAAACACCATAACTTCCAAAGACAAAACATCCAAAGCTTCTTTGGAATCTGTCTTCTTAAAATGTCAAAATACTGTCTTCTTCATTGCTGCTTTACATAGAATACTAAGTAACAGGAGTAAAAGCAAAAAAAAAACTATCCTGGAGATCTGAAATAAAATGTTTGGGAGAAAACATCTGACAAATGAAGGGCATTTACTTTGGGTATGTATTGTCAAACATCAGCCATTAAGCAGAAACTAAGAGGGTACAGCATTCATAGGAAAGAACATGTGCAGACTACTTTTTAATGTATGCAACAATCTTTAGCCAGAATATGGCCTGCTTTAATATAAGGAGTTGTGAACTGTGCTGACCATTATGCAATCACCAGCAAACATCTCACTGCTGATCTTATGATGGAGGCAAAATTATTGATGAAGTACCTCAAAATAGTTGGGCCCAGTAAACTACCCCGAGGAACTCCTGCAGAGATGGCCTGGAGCCGAGATGACTGACCTCCAACAAACATAACCATCTTCCTACGTACCAGGTGAAACTCCAATCAGTGGAGAGTTTTCTCCTCGAATCACAGATTTCTGTTTTGCATGGGCTCCTTGATGCCATTCTCAGTCAAAAGCAACCTCAACGTCAAGAGTTGTCACTCTCACTTAACTTCTGGAATGCAGCTGTTTTGCCCATGTTTGAATCAATGCTGTATAAGGTCAGGAGCTGAGTGGCCCTGTCAGAACCCAAACTGGGCATCAATAAGCAGGTCGTTGCTGAGCAGGTGCTGCTTGATACAGGTGCCGCTTGATACAGGTGCCAGCAGCAGCACTGTCACTTTATTGATCAAGAGTAAGCTGATGGGACAATTGGCCAGGTTGAATCTGTACAGGACATATTTGGGCAATTTTCCACATTGTCATGTAGATGCCAATATTGTAGCTGTACTGGAACAGCTTGGCTAGGGCGTGGCAAGTCCTGGAACACAAGTCTTCAGTACTGTTGTCGGAATGTTGTCAGGGCCCATAGCTTTTACAATATCCAGTATCTCCAACCATTTCTTAATATCACGTGAAACAAAGTGAATTGGTTGATGACTGGTAGCTGCAATGCTGAGGAACACTGGAGGAAACAGAGATAGATTATCCTCCTGAAGCTGTGGCTGAAGACTTCTGTGAAGGATTCCGCCTTACCTTTTGCACTGATGTGCTGGGCTCTTCCTTTATTGGCGATGTGGATATTTGTGGAGCCTCCTCCTCCAGCGAGTTGTTTAATTATCCACCAACATTCTTGGCTGATGTGGCAGGTCTACACAGCTTATGTCTAATCTGATGGTTTGTGGGATCCCTTAACTCTGTCTATCATTTGCTGCTTATGCTGTTTGGCATGCAAGTAGTCCTGTTTTGTAGCCTCACCACATTACCACCTCCTTTTTATGTTTGCCGGGTGCTTCTGCAGGCATGACCCTGCATTGCCCATTGAAGCAGAGTCGATCCCTTGTCTTGATGGTAATGTTTGAGTGGGGGATATAGAGTCATAGAGTTATACAACATGGAAACAGGCCTTTGATATGCTTGGTCATGAGGTTGTGGAT